TAGCGACACACAGGCAGATTTTTGTGTACTCACCCACAACCTAGCAGTGTTTTTTCAGGCATCTCCCTGGGGTAAGGGTACATTATGTGTGTTCATGCGTGTGTACGTGTGCGGTGTGCGCATGTGTGAGTGAGCGCGGGTGTGTATGTGTGTGTTACTGTATGTGTGTTAGTGTATGTGTGTGAGTGTGTGAGAGTGAGAGTGTGTGTGTGTGTGCGTGTGTGTATATGTGTGTGTTACTGTATGTGTGTTAGTGTATGTGTGTATGTGTGTGTGAGTGTGTGTGTTTGCGTGACTAGGTATGCAAGAGATTTTAAACTTACGCAATGCTAATTCGTATTGGATTAGTTTTACAACACAAGAAATAAATTTTAAAACTACAACAATAACCTGGTGACTACAAATAAAAGGATATAAAAATCCGAAGATCAATAATAATAAATCAGTAAATAAAAAGCAAATACATACGCCATCATAAAATGAATACCCTAGCGTGTAATAAAAACGTGGATATCAACTGACGTATGAGACGAAAGATTATAAGAAAAACAAGATCCCACACGCACAAGGACAAAAAAAGAACCTTAACTCACAACGACAAAGAAACATAACTGACAACCACAAACAACTATCACTCACAAGAACCAGAACTCAATAGGACAAAGAACAAAAACTCACAAGAACAAAGAACCATAACTCACAAGAACAAAGAACCATAATTCATAAGGGCAAAGACCCATAACTCATAAGAGCAAAGAACCATAATTCACTAGGACAAAAAAAACATAACTCACAACGACAAAGACCCATAACTCATAAGAGCCAAGAACCATAATTCATAAGCGTAAAGACCCATAACTCATAAGAGTAAAGAACCGTAACTCACAAGGACAAAGAACCATAACTCACAACGACAAAGAACCATAACTCATAAGGGCAAAGAATCCCTATTCATAAAGACAAAGAACCGTAACTCATAAGAACAAAGAACCATAACTCACAAGAACAAAGAATTACAACTCATAAGAACAAAGAACCATAACAAAAATAAACAAAGAACCATAACTCACCTGTCCGACTCGTCAACACGAATATCCCCCACAAAGCCAAACCACGAAATCACGAGCAAGAAAATAGCCCGGCAGTTTGAACGCGGGCTTTTAGCTAGCAGACGATCTATACCGGGAGTCAATCAAATTCCTGACGGCATTCTTCGTCATTGTCATACCGGTCAGTGCCAGACTTTGTGTTTTAATGAAACAGTGGAGTTTACAAAGAACTGCGCTTTGACTGGTGTAGGTTTTGTATGTTACATGCAAGCAGTGGCGTAGCGAGGGGGGGGGGGGGGGGCGGGGGTGCGGACCGCACCGGGTGACACCATTTAGGGGGGTGACACCAAGGCAAAAACTAGCAAAATATATAGAGAAAAATGATAATTCCACTTAATTAATTCGAGTGTTAGTCTTTTAAGAGGTGCAAATCGAAAGTTTGAGGGGAGGGGTGCAAATCGAAAGTTTGAGGGGAGGGGATGCAAATAGAAAGTTTGAGGGGGTGGGGGCTGCAAATCGAAAATTTGTCCCCGGGAAGGGTCGCTACGCCTCTGGGGGTTGGTCCCATTAAGTGCTGCACCGGATGACACCCGACCTCGCTACGCCACTGCATGCATAAAATACGATATGAAATAATTAAGGTCATGAACCCCACATTACATTACACGAGCCAGTAGCCAATAATATAGTGCACATGAACAAGAACTAAATGGTACCTTCACGTGGTGAGAATAAAATGATGTCCTTCTAATTTATCTTAGGAATAAACTAAGGGATCGACCCAATATATCTACCAAGGGATTGACCTAACATATATATATATATATATATATATATATATATATATATATATATATATATATATATATATATATAGATAGATAGATAGATAGATAGATATAGATATATAGATATATAGATATATAGATATATAGATATAGATATATAGATATAGATATATAGATATAGATAGATAGATAGATATAGATATATAGATATTTAGATATATAGATATATAGATATATAGATATAGATATATAGATATAGATATATAGATATAGATATATATATATATATATATATATATATATATATATATATATATATATATATATATATATATATATATATATATATATATATATATATATATATATTTACCAAGGGATCTTCGTAATATAGACGTATCTAAATGATAGACCAAATACAAATTTTAAATACTTAGTGGTCGTACAGCGTGGACCGGCAAAAGAAAATGTTGTGTTTGTTGTAGTCTTACAGTAGTCATGTAGTGTACAGCTTCTAGCGTCTTGCAGTAGCTATGTCTTCTTCTTCGTCGCGTTTTCAACTTTTAGTGGGACACATTAAAAATATCATTTCATCCTTTTCTGCCTTTTGCAACTTTTCCATTTCTTGCCAATAATTACCATGCCTTTCTACTGCCTTATATTGCCAATAATTACCATGCCTTTCTATTGCCTTATATTATGACTTATTTTCAAAAAACTATATTTAATTATTTGTTTCTGTGATTACCTTCTATCTTCGCCTAAGGTACTTTGAACCACTATTATGTAATCTGTCTTGAATCGATTTCTGTCACAAGACTACTACAACCTTACCTGCTAATTTGGTGTGTTCATTAGACCGGCGGCTCTCAGTTTTTCACAAGACTACTACAACATTACCTGCTAATTTGGTGTGTTCATTAGACCGGCGGCTCCCAGTTTTTCACTACTACAACATTGCCTGCTAATTTTTTTCATTGACCTATTTCTTATATATAGATAATTGAATAATTAAAAGCACGCGATAAAAACAACTCCTTATCTGCCTCTAGGGCAAGAGTCAGTGTTATTGTCAGGATTAGGGGTGAGGTTAAAAACTAATAGTACAAGTATCATAATATCGTATTTTTTATATTTTTTTTGGTGGCGCGGGTTATCTGGACAAGAACGGGTACATCTTAATTATGTGGTTTGGTATACCCCTCCCCCTTTCCCATATATTTCAACCACGCCCAAACCTCTTTAAACACAGCCTACAAGAAAATAAGTTATTTAGTTGGTGCGTCTGGTGCATAGGTTTGCTCCAGTTTGATGGAACAATTTTTTTTTTATTTATCAACTCCGCTTTTATGCTCAGTAATTGCAATATGTTTATCATATTTCACATTAAACTTATATACGAAGTGTTCACGTGTACACCTGCTTGTATTGAGACTGATGACATACACTTATAATGCCACTTCTTAAAGTAAGCCTATACATTAATTTTGTTTAGATAAACAATCTTGGTCAGAGAAAAAAAAATCACTTTATATTTACTTCAAGCAGGAAGAAAACACACGATATCCCTTAAAAAGATAGTCTAACTCTACATCGCTATATGACATCATCTCACACTATATCGAGCGCCCCCCCCCCCCCCCTGAGGCTGTGTAGAGTCATGTTTTTACGAATGTTGTGTGGTCCAACACCCCGAACCACAGTTTGAGAGCCGCTGAGTTATCGGGTCACTATAGAGCCACGTCAACCCCGTCTGACAGTCTAAACCCGTGATCGATGGTTAGAACAAATGGCGGCATACACAGAGAGATAGGACCAGTAACTCCCTGGGTCTAAAACCGTGATCGATGGTTAGAACAAATGGCGGCATACACAGAGAGATAGGACCACTAACTCCCTGGGTCAAAAACCGTGATCGATGGTTAGAACAAATGGCGGCATACACAGAGAGATAGGACCACTAACTCCCTGGGTCTCCGTCTGACAGTCTAAAACCGTGATCAATGGTTAGAACAAATGGCGGCATACACAGAGAGATAGGACCACTAACTCCCTGGGTCAAAAACCGTGATCGATGGTTAGAACAAATGGCGGCATACACAGAGAGATAGGACCACTAACTCCCTGGGTCTCCGTCTGACAGTCTAAAACCGTGATCAATGGTTAGAACAAATGGTGGCATACACAGAGAGACAGGACCAGTAACTCCCACACTCCCGAGTTAGTAGACCTACCTACCAGACGATACAAGTCATACGCTTAAGACCAACACATACAAATTCAACTAGGATAACATAAAACTGATATATTTTTTTAAACTATATTCTTCTAATAAACTTTTAAATGCACTAAAAATTAAAAATCCTTGTGTAATGGTTTATAGACCAATTAGTTGAAATTGAGTTTCAAGATTTGCTAGAAATAGACAGTAAGACAGACAGACATTGTAAACTAAACAAAAGTTTTTTTTTAAAATACGCACAGATCACATATATGTCCAAAGACGAATTAGAAAAGTATATCTGACGCTATCAACACGCCAAAAACAAGTATCTGACGCTAATAATACGCAAAATAACATGTTGAAAGTGACCAAATGTAGGCCTAAGTCTTGATGGGTAGGCTCTAACTTCAAGTCAAAAGTAAATCGTTCATCAAACAGTTTATTTTAATAACCCTACCACATTCAGTTTAATAATATATATGAAATAAACTTGGAAATCCATTACTATAATGGGCATCTCAAAAACAAAATTATTATCCTACAATCCCTTTTATTTATAGTTGGCTTATAAATATTGTCTTTAACATGAATAAAGCTTCTAACTCTAATGATCTTGAAATTTATTTTACATTAAGGGGTCGATGTGGTACAGTCGGAAGCTCATGGTTGCTAAACCAAAAAGACTCGAGTTCGAACCCTCAGGCAGATGAGGCTCATTAGCTGGTGACGTATACATGACATGACTAAAGATTCCACCCATGCATTATGTTAGAGACCTAGATAAAGTCGATTCTTCTAATAATTTATATGGTGTCAGCAATCTTGTCTGTCTACATGAGAAATTCATGTTGGTGGTTGGTGCAGAAAAAGTAGGGAAGTTAAATGTATGAGATGGGGGTCAAACATTACATTCAAACTGCTAAAGAATAAAACAACAAATTGTTTCCAATTTTTATACAAATACATTTACAGTGACAAAATTGGGAAATGTTTAATGTTAAACCTACATCGAGAATTTACCCTATATTAATTTGTTTGAAGAAATATTTTGACAACTTTATCAGCCAAATGAATTAAATAAAATTGTAAACAGAAACGAAAAAAAAAATTCATAAAAAAAATTCACCGGTGTATATAAATAAATTTACAGTAAAATACAAAAAGCTACAATAAAAAATCAGCAAGAACACAAGCCCTTAATATTGGAAATATTATAACACAGCAAAATAATCATAGATTTAAACTTACACAGAAATCCTAAACTTTGTAAGAAATAATCTGGTGTTTATTTACAAACTGAAAAGTTTTAAAGCTAAAATTTAACTTTCATGACGAGATTTAAAACTGTCCTTAAATGGTGTGTATATAAATAAACTTACAGTAAAATACAAAAAGCTAGAACCCAGTATACTGGCTATAACAAAAATATTAGCAATAACACAAGTCCTAAGTATTGGAAATAATATAACAGTAAAATAATCATAGATTTAAACTTTTTAAATCTGGTGTTTACAAACTGAAAAGGTTTAAAGCTAAAATTCAACTCTCATGACTAGAGATTTAAAACTGTCCTTAAATGGTGTTTATAAATAAACTTACAGTAAAACTAGAACCCAGAATACTGGCTATAACAAAAATATTAGCAATAACACAAGTCCTAAGTATTGGAAATAATATAACAGTAAAATAATCATAGATTTAAACTTTTTAAATCTGGTGTTTACAAACTGAAAAGGTTTAAAGCTAAAATTCAACTCTCATGACTAGAGATTTAAAACTGTCCTTAAATGGTGTTTATAAATAAACTTACAGTAAAACTAGAACCCAGAATACTGGCTATAACAAAAATATTAGCAATAACACAAGTCCTAAGTATTGGAAATAATATAACAGTAAAATAATCATAGATTTAAACTTTTTAAATCTGGTGTTTACAAACTGAAAAGGTTTAAAGCTAAAATTCAACTCTCATGACTAGAGATTTAAAACTGTCCTTAAATGGTGTTTATAAATAAACTTACAGTAAAACTAGAACCCAGAATACTGGCTATAACAAAAATATTAGCAATAACACAAGTCCTAAGTATTGGAAATAATATAACAGTAAAATAATCATAGATTTAAACTTTTTAAATCTGGTGTTTACAAACTGAAAAGGTTTAAAGCTAAAATTCAACTCTCATGACTAGAGATTTAAAACTGTCCTTAAATGGTGTTTATAAATAAACTTACAGTAAAATACAAAAAGCTAGAACCCAGAATACTGACTATAACCGAAAATCAGCAAGAACACAAGTATTGGAAATAATATAACACAGAAAAATAATCATAGATTTCAACTTACACAGAAATCCTAAACTTTGTAAGAAATAATCTGGTGTATATTTACAAACTGAAAAGGTTTAAAGTTAAAATTCAACTTTCATGACTATCGATTTAAAACTGTCATTAAATGGTGTGGAGATTTTTCTTCAAAATGAGATTTTTAAAATCTCAGATATTATTAGAGAACAATAAAGAAAGCAACGAATAATGAAAAACTAACCATTGCAAGCTACAAAAAACTAACATTTTAAAAAATGCTGCTACTTATAGATGTGCCTTTGAAAAAAATACTCAAAAGTTAAGTTTAAATCATTTCCTAGACAGTTCTTAATTGCACGGGTATTTGAAATATTTTTTTAAAAACGTACAAATTAAACGTAATTTTTTTCTTCAAGCGTTATGTGATTTTTAATAATTTTTATCCTAACTGGAAAAAAGTATCTACAGTAATTTTCAACTAGTTTTAATTATTTGAAAAGTACTGTATAAATATGAAGAAGTAATAACAAAATTACAAAACATCTTTAGAAAAAATACAAAGATAATAATGTAAAGCTATTGGTACAATGGAAGCAATAGTCAGATCTAGTGGGTGTATAGTAGGTGACCTTATCATTGATAAATTCTTGGCACCTGTTCACTGACTCAACTGTATAGTGTACTTAAAACTAAAGGCATGCAAAACAACTCAAAGCTTTAGGTTGATTTATCATAGCACATGAATTAAATTAAAAAATTAAGTAAAATATTTGACAAAAACACTTCAGCAACATAAGGAAGATGACACTTCAGTTTAGCAACATCAGCAAGATGACATTTCAGTTCAGCAACATCAGCAAGATGACATTTCAGTTCAGCAACATCAGCAAGATGACATTTCAGTTCAGCAACATCAGCAAGATGACATTTCAGTTCAGCAACATCAGCAAGATGACATTTCAGTTCAGCAACATCAGCAAGATGACATTTCAGTTCAGCAACATCAGCAAGATGACATTTCAGTTCAGCAACATCAGCAAGATGACATTTCAGTTCAGCAACATCAGCAAGATGACATTTCAGTTCAGCAACATCAGCAAGATGACACTTCAGTTCAGCAACATCAGGGTTATGAGACATCCATACCCTCCACAATCCAGCTGCTCCACACTAATAACGGGCAGATTGTGGGTACACAACCTCATTCTGGAACTCTGATGGCTGGGTCAGACCGACCTGGTCAGTCTGCATGCGTGTGTAACCATTGGGTAGAATATGACTGACACCACTGATTACCTGTTAGGTGAGAGAAAGAAAATATATAGCCACGACACAATCTTATACATCAAATTAAAATATTACCACAACACAATCTTATACATCAAATTAAAATGTTACCACAACACAATCTTATACATCAAATTAAAATGTTACCACAACACAATCTTATACATCAAATTAAAATGTTACCACAACACAATCTTATACATCAAATTAAAATGTTACCACAACACAATCTTATACATCAAATTAAAATGTTACCACAACACAATCTTATACATCAAATTAAAATGTTACCACAACACAATCTTATACATCAAATTAAAATATATAGCCACGACACAATCTTATACATCAAATTAAAATATATAGCCATGACACAATCTTATACATCAAATTAAATTATATAGCCACGACACAATCTTATACATGAAATTAAAATATATAGTCACGACACTTATACATTAAATTAAAATTTGTTGCCATGACACAATCTTATAAATCGAATTAAAAATTGTTGCCATGACACAATCTTATAAATCGAATTAAAATTTGTTGCCATGACACAATCTTATAAATCGAATTAAAATTTGTTGCCATGACACAATCTTATAAATCGAATTAAAATTTGTTGCCATGACACAATCTTATAAATCGAATTAAAATTTGTTGCCATGACACAATCTTATAAATCGAATTAAAATTTGTTGCCATGACACAATCTTATAAATCGAATTAAAATTTGTTGCACCCACTAATGATGGCTTCAATATGCAGGTGAAATTAAGAAAAATAGAGGGAATACAACCCCATAATCTGATGAGTCAAAGCTAGAAATGAATCCATAGACTACTTTCACAGTACAATATTATTACTTCTGCCAATATCTAGCCAATACTTCTGGCTAATATCTAAGTCACAACACATGAATATGACAAGTTAAACTAGGATGGGTCTAAAGGCATTGTAAGAAATGAAACCACATAATGAAATAGCAATATAACAAATGTATCAAACTAACACGTACCATTCCAGCAAAAGGACTGCTTGGGGAGGCGAAACAGAGAATAAATGAAACAGTGACGACTAAGGCACTTCCAATAGCGTACACAAAGAATGCCCAGCCCCAATCCACTTTAAAGAACTTCATTCCGTATCCGTCACTGCTGGCAAAGATGGCCACACATGCTACACCTGCAGCACCTGTTGATAGATGTTTCAACATTTTCTTCTGGTTCCCTTCATTTTATCAAGTAAATAACACAGTACTCAACACCCATGACACCAGTTAAATACAGTACTCAACACACCAGTTTAACTCAGTACTCACCACACACCAGTTTAACACAGTATTCAACAAACCAGTTTAACACAGTACTCACCACCCATGACACCAGTTTACTGCAGTACTCACCACACAAGTTTAACACAGTATTCAACAAACCAGTTTAACACAGTACTCACCACCCATGACACCAGTTTAACACAATACTCACCATCCATGACACCAGTTTAATGCAGTACTCAACACACCAGTTTACAGCAGTACTCAACACACCAGTTTAACACAGTATTCAACAAACCAGTTTAACACAATATTCAACAAACCAGTTTAACACAGTACTCACCACCCACAACACCAGTTTAACATAGTACTCACCACCCATGACACCAATATAACACAGTACTCAACACACCATAACACCAGTTTAACACAGTACTCACCACCCATGACAGCAATATAACACAGTACTCACCACCCATGACAGCAATATAACACAGTACTCACCACCCATGACACCAATATAACAGTACTCACCACCCATGACACCAGTTAAATGCAGTACTCACCAGCTACAAATGCAATGACACCATGGCACACTGTTTTCCCACCTCCACAACAACAGCTACGGCAGAGAGCAGCTAATGCACAGGTCAGTGCAAGAAAGACATTGACCACTGCTGTGATGCGAATAGCCCAATCTCTACCTGAAATTTAAAAACCTCGACTGATCACATTAACACTTCACTAGAACATGACAATATGGTCAACTGATGGATGGATAATCTTGGCAACTAGAGGTGTGATGTTTTTATCTCATATTTAGGACTTTAATTTTTTTACTGCAACCTTATGAAATATAGAAATGTGTCTACAGTCACACTTCTTGGCCACAAAAACAAAAATTTTCTGTATTTTACTCATTTTAGCATTTATGATGTCCACAACAAAAGTGGATTTAGAACCCACTCCTCTTTGGAGTTGATATCCACAAAAATAGAATCCTCTAATCAAGCAATGTGTACCTTGCAATACTAATTAATTATAAAGTTATGTATTCGTTTTGAAAATGCTTGATGTGATGAGGAAAAAAAATTCTGTTTTTAAAGAATATATCTATATTATAGGTGCGTGTTATATTTTAATTAATATTTTTGTTTCCAAATAAACAAAAAACCAAATACAGTTTTCAATATTTTTATACGGAAAGAAAGTTTAAAAACTCAGTTTTTACCCACTTCTAATGCACTGATTTCATTCAAACTTTCAAGATGTTTGTCTCCAATAAAAATGCAAGAATATTTATTTTTAATCTAATTAGGTAGGTCATTAAAGTGTAATTAAAAGATTACTAAACTCAATAATATAGGGAGAGGTAATATTAAACATTAGAGATTGCACATTCAGCTAACCGCACTCCACACCAACGCAATACATGAAATAACTCAAATGTAATAAACTACTTCTTTTGCTGAGGTTAAAATTAAAGTATAATTATTATTAATCAAATATTTTCAGAGAAATTTCCTAATTACATCTTCACTACTCGACATGAACAATTAGGTTCTGGTATAAATTGAGTTTACGCTTTAGACATGATTTACTGATGGCTGGAGCAAATCCTGAAAAGTATAACAAGTTGGTTATGTAACAAAAGTAGGTTGGAGCTGGGTAACTGTATACAAAATACAATGTATTGAAACAAGTAAATATCTTTTTCCTTTTAATAAAGTATCTTAGTGAAATTTAATGTTTTGCCTTTTAAGATACATTAAATTTCTTCATTACTTGTTTAGTTGAGATTCATATTAAACAAAAATTGAAGTTTTTATATCTTTCAATTTATTACTGTCTCTGATTATAATTTGGTGCATATATTCATTTTAATATTTACATTTTTCCTTTTTAACTGCTACACACAATCTCTATATTCAAACACTTACATATACATGTATAAATAAATACTTAAACCCTAGTGATGATGAATGAATAGATACAATGAATTAAATACTTTTTGAGATGTACTTTTCAAAACAATAACAGCTGTTTTGACCAGTACTGTAGTTAAAATGTATATTTGTATGCAGGTTAACTAAGGCTTTTATGATTGTTGTAATGTCTTGTGGTGCCATCATCCTCTTACTTATAAACTTACCAGCGCCTTCTTCCAACTTGTACATTTCACAAGACCGACCAGTTAAAATGTTATCTTCACACCACCACCACAGACCTCCATAAACAGACACTAATTCCACTTCTGGCACCAGATTATTTACAACAGAGTTAACAATCTTCCCCTCTCCAACATCTGGGATAATTTTACCAACATCTTTTGTGGTAACCTAGAAGAGATAATTGCTAGATAAAAACATCAAATAGCTACATTAAATAAAATACTACAGATATTCCAGCTCACTGTAAAAGTACTCATGCACTCTTTGACCAAAGTATATTTTATTTTATTAGGCCTAAATGTACCATTATTTTTTTGCATTCATTATTTTTTTACTGAAACTAAAAGCTATTGTTTTTTTAAAGCCAATTTCTTAGCTCTTAAATTAAAGAAACAATAGTTATCTGGTTTTAGTTTTTCCTTCAAAAAAAAGCAAGGTTTTTTTAAATGTGAGGATCAGTTCACTTTTATAACAATTTTGACTCTTGAGAAAATTGAAAAAACAAATGTTTTTTTTAAATGTGGTTAAATAGTGTATGTTATCATGGACATCAGGATTAACTTAATCTCAACTCATAAAGCATTTTTAAAGCATATTAAACAGTAATCCTAAAATGCACAAAATTTTCTAAAATATTAAAACCTTAATCACAATGTCTGTTCTTGAGCAAAAATATTTTTTTTATATACAATTCCATAGGTCTATTTTCAAGTAAACTGTTTTGGCAAAATCTAGGATGGTTTCCAGAATGGATTAAACCCTTTTTAGTTCATTCCTAATTCCTATTAAAAATATTAATTGACATTCAACTAAATCCCCCAAACTGAGATATGCAAAGTTGGTACAAAAGACAAATATCCCCAGCCTAATAATATGTTCACTATAAATGGATAATTTTTAATGTTTTATTATTAGATTTGCATTAATGAAAGAAGTTAATTTCCGAGACCGTTTATATATACCCTATCCGCTCAATGGAACTTCACTTACTTTCCCAGCTTGCCAAAAAGGAGCAATAGCACCAATGGTACAAAGCAAAAATCCAATAACAAGACCAGCAAATGCAATTCTCTGAGCTGAACTGTAACTTGTTATTGCCATTTTGTTGCCAGCATGTGATGTACTTCACCTGCAACAAAACATTTTATTTTAACAATTTGGGAGTTTTAAAACAAAAGAAATTGTAAATATAGGCCTAAACAATTTAAAATAATATTTCTAATTTAGCTTGAGACTTCATTTTTGTTTACAAATAAATATATGATAAGTTAATTTTCATGGCCTAATTAATTCAATAGAATCTGAACAATCAGTAGCCTGTATTGTTAACTGCTAATAAATTCATGTTCTGATTCACTACAAATTTTTTCTTCCTCGTTCTTAATTGAAAATAAAATGTTGGATGTGATTTCACACAACACAACTTTTTATGCATCATATATAGGGAGTGGACTACAACTTCAGCCAGCATTTCTTTTTGGATTTGCTTCTATAGCCTTTATCCATCCAAGGACTAATTAAAGGCAGTGCTTGTTTGATTTTGGAGTTGTCTCTCTTGGATGGGTTGCTATCCCCAACTATAGAGCTGGGTTTGAGGGCGGAACATTTCGGTTCAGCAATCACTAGCTTTACCAACCTGAACGGGTAGACCCCCATTACACAATTGAAATACTTGTTTTAAAGAATCACACTTTTCTTATTTGTACAAAAAACTATTATTTAGATTATTTAAGTGTGGATTGGTTTTAGTCAGGAAATGGTCATGGCGAGAGGTCAACTCAGGATGCTCAATCAATTGACAATATTATAGAATATGTAAACTCAGGGTGCAAACAGCACACTCTGCCGCTGGAGCACTCCTCTGATATTTAATTTTTTTAATGGCAGAAACCTTCCCTGGAGTGTACTAAACAACTTTCCAAGCAAAGTTTATTCTCTCTCTCATTAAAGTCTGCATTTTTTTACAAGTGTGTTTTTAATTGCTGAGAGTTATGCACAGTTAGGCTATAGAGACTCTATATAGTATAATTATATTGATAATGTAATGTAGACATTATTAAAAATAATCATATTGAAGTAGTAGACTTAGACTTAGTCACTACTACTAGAGTACTCTACTGTAACTGTAGTCTACTACTTAGAATCTAGATTTAGTACAGTGCACACAAAATTAAATTAAAATAAATCTAACTCAAACCACTATAAAAATTCTAAATGAATAAGGTTGATAAGCATGAATAGGCTTACAAAACGAAATGATTTGCAGGCTATAGATTCTAGATCTAGATCTATAATTCTAGATCTAGTTATTTTCGTTCTGGTCTACTGAATTTCTTTCAATTCTTTACTTTATGACTTTATGCCTACCCTGTTTAGATTCTGTCAATACGACTAAAAGGAATTGTAGTCGAGCTGTATCTAGAATCTAGATCGTGTCGATACTTTGTTTTATATTAATTTAAGTTAATCCGATAATGTATTTAATTAGTATAGCAAGTAATTATTTCATTTTTATCTACATTTGCTGGAGGGAACATTTTCTCCGTTAAAAATATTAAGTTGGGCCTAATTTTTTTTAAAAATATGTAGATCTCGTATCGGTTTATCCCATATTATTCGAATACTTTACTCGGATTTTTTTTGCTCTCGAGTACGGTTCTGCGCATGTGTAGGCCCATTTCCTAGAAAGAAAACAATTCTATGAAGCGAACTTTTCACTTTCACTAGTAATACTTAAGAAATGGCTTACAATGTGCATTAAAACAAATGTTTGTTTTTTTCTACGTGTAAAAAATTATCTATCCACCAATACGGCAAACAATGCCTCCTCCCCTTCCCCCCCCCCCCCCCCATCTTGGAAAAAGTTTGTGAGTGGTTTTACCGGTCACTTACTGGTGTTTCTTTTTTTACCGTTACACAATCAAAGCAGAAAACAGTTAAATCCAGAGTTTCTTCCAGGCATCTCTTCGGGGGGGCGAAGCCCCCCCGAAAATTTTTTACCGCCCCCCCCGAACGAAATGAAATTTATATATTTTATATAGAAAATATATACTTTTAACAGTGTCCGCCCCCCCGAAGAAAGTTTACCGCCCCCCCGAAGATTTCAAGTGCCCCCCCGGAGAAAAAAGTCTGGAAGAAACACTGGTTAAATCAGTATGTAAAACCTTATAGATTCTCTACAGCTTGTCGTTTTTTTTCTAACTTTGTTTACATTTTAATATTGCAGCTTAAATGCGTTAAATAAAGAAATTGTAAAAGCATAAACAGATATGTATGATAAGCATTTGTGCTTTGGTTTTACCTATTTTTCCCATGTCAGACAATGACTGATGTAAGTATTAAACTTTTAAAATTTTGGTATGCAAAAATAGGTTTTTAAAAAAATCGTCTGTAGTAGTAAGGGATCGGCCATAAATGACGTCGCACTCGTAAGGGGGAGGGGGTCCGTAATTTTGTGACGGTGTGTGATGAGGGGGAGGGGGTAGGGGAAGTTCAAATGGTGTAACGTAACACTTTTGCATTATAAAACAGCAATATTAGAAAACGAATTTTAACCGTTATTTCAAGTTTTAGAAAACTGTTTTAATAAATTGCAATAGGAATTGATTAAAATACTCTATGATGTCAGAGTTCAAACAAGATTTATTTGGGGGGGGGGGGGGGGATATCGATGTTTTAAGAAAAAAAATGCAATTTTGAGGCGGTTGTAGGTCGTATGTATATATATATATAGGGCCAGAGTTTCTTCCAGGTAACTCTTCAGGGGGGGGGGGGGGCGAAGAAAGTCTACCGCCCCCACCCCCGAACGAAATGGAATTTAAATAGAAAATATATACTTTTAACAGTGTCCGTCCACCCCCCCCCCCCTAGAAAATGGTTGCCCCCCCCCCCCCCCCCCGAAAATTTCAAGTGCCCCCCCCCCCCCCCCCGGAGAAAAAAGTCTGGAAGAAACACCGTTCAGGGCCTATGTATATATGTATACGTAGATATGTATGTATGTATATATATATATATATATATATATATATATATACTAGGCATACTGCCTAGCTTTGCTTAGGTTTTTAATAAAGTTTTAAAATAAAGAAATTGAGAATTTGAATGATTAATTAATTGGTGATTGGCTGTTATATGGAGTGCTTAGAGCCTAAGTTTAAAGAGTCTGAGTAACTTCATGTCATGCAAACATATGTGGAGTATTCGAAAACTTATTACGCGCAAGGTTATTAGAACTGCAAAGGCTTCCTTAATAGTATAAATAAAAAAAAATATATTAAATTCAGTTTGCAGTTTTTCCGTACGCCCTATTACCTAGGTGCGTGCCAAAAATTAGCCTGATGTACAGAGGGTAAGTACCCTAAAACCTGTGTTGAAATTACCCTCTGTTTTTCATATAAAATACAAAGATTATATAGGGAAATAAGACTGGTAAGTTTTGACCCATTTCTAGATTTTTCCCGGATATGGCGAGGTTTTTTTTTTTGTTTTTTTTCTGACACCTCACAAAATGTCAAGGGGGGTCGTTCGGCAAAAGTTTTTTTTCGAAATATAGCCCATATAAGGCGCCGGTCAGTCGAGGTCAGTTTTGCCCCCCTCGCCGTGTACTTTTCGGCCAACCGTCACCGGCCCCCGTGTTCTATCACCCCCCAAGGCAGGATCCTGCCAAATTTGAAGAGCCTGCGGCGCCGGGAAGTGCCCTAACGGGCACCTGACCACTTTGCCTTATATATATATATAGAATATTATAGAAGATACATAAAGTGCGTCATCACTTATTATTATACAGGATTTGATTGATTTATTTCCCCTTTATTTAAAAAAATTATCCTATACTCACACATGTTCTTTGAAAATAGAAACAAATACCAATACACAAAGAGACTCGTTGTCAAATGCACATTTTTTACATTCAAATATCAACTAACAAAACATAGGTTATTTTTTTTTTATTTATATCCCATTTGTAACAAAAAAAGTAAAAACAAAGATGTTGCTTTTAATGTAGAAATATTTATATCATGTTTAAATAAATGAAGGAAATGGCAACAGCCAATTCTAGTTTAACAAGAATAAAAAGCCTCTGATAGAAGAACAGGCTCACCTAACGGTGAAACATTTTCACCACATAACTACGAGAGATAACTCTCACGACCAGGATGCTTATTAGACAATAATAGACCATCAGTTAGGGATCGTACACAAGTAAGGCATTTTTTACCCATACACCTACTCCATAAACGTAACATAACTTTGCTATGACAATCATTCTTCATATTTTAAAATATTTATACGAATCACAAAATAGTTATGTCAACATAATCACAAATATTTCCGAGTATCGAAGATTTAGCAAGAATAAAAGTAAAGATCATCAAAGCATACAGCGCAATATAAAAAGAACCATCTCAGTACCCAATTGTGTTAAATTGTGTGTACACGATTCCTTACGGTGTTTCTTCCAAAGCTTCATCGAGAACCCAGGACTAAACAAGACAGCCTAGCTCTACACAACCCAGGACTAAACAAGACAGCCTAGCTCTACACAACCCAGGACTAAACAAGACAGCCTAGCTCTACACAACCCAGGACTAAACAAGACAGCCTAGCTCTACACAACCCAGGACTAAACAAGACAGACTAGCTCTACACAACCCAGGACTAAACAAGACAGCCTAGCTCTACACAACCCAGGACTAAACAAGACAGACTAGCTCTACACAACCCAGGACTAAACAAGACAGCTCTACACAACCCAGGACTAAACAAGACAGCCTAGCTCTACACAACCCAGGACTAAACAAGACAGCCTAGCTCTACACAACCCAGGACTAAACAAGACAGTCTAGCTCTACACAACCCAGGACTAAACAAGACAGCCTAGCTCTACACAACCCAGGACTAAACAAGACAGCCTAGCTCTACACAACCCAGGACTAAACAAGACAGCCTAGCTCTACACAACCCAGGACTAAACAAGACAGTCTAGCTCTACACAACCCAGGACTAAACAAGACAGCTCTACACAACCCAGGACTAAACAAGACAGCCTAGCTCTACACAACCCAGGACTAAACAAGACAGCCTAGCTCTACACAACCCAGGACTAAACAAGACAGTCTAGCTCTACACAACCCAGGACTAAACAAGACAGCTCTACACAACCCAGGACTAAACAAGACAGTCTAGCTCTACACAACCCAGGACTAAACAAGACAGCTCTACACAACCCAGGACTAAACAAGACAGCCTAGCTCTACACAACCCAGGACTAAACAAGACAGCCTAGCTCTACACAACCCAGGACTAAACAAGACAGTCTAGCTCTACACAACCCAGGACTAAACAAGACAGCTCTACACAACCCAGGACTAAACAAGACAGTCTAGCTCTACACAACCCAGGACTAAACAAGACAGCTCTACACAACCCAGGACTAAACAAGACAGCCTAGCTCTACACAACCCAGGACTAAACAAGACAGCCTAGCTCTACACAACCCAGGACTAAACAAGACAGCCTAGCTCTACACAACCCAGGACTAAACAAGACAGCTCTACACAACCCAGGACTAAACAAGACAGCTCTACACAACCCAGGACTAAACAAGACAGCCTAGCTCTACACAACCCAGGACTAAACAAGACAGCTCTACACAACCCAGGACTAAACAAGACAGCCTAGCTCTACACAACCCAGGACTAAACAAGACAGCTCTACACAACCCAGGACTAAACAAGACAGCCTAGCTCTACACAACCCAGGACTAAACAAGACAGTCTAGCTCTACACAACCCAGGACTAAACAAGACAGCTCTACACAAGACAGGACTAAACAAGACAGCCTAGCTCTACACAACCCAGGACTAAACAAGACAGCCTAGCTCTACACAACCCAGGACTAAACAAGACAGTCTAGCTCTACACAACCCAGGACTAAACAAGACAGCCTAGCTCTACACAACCCAGGACTAAACAAGACAGCTCTACACAACCCAGGACTAAACAAGACAGACTAGCTCTACACAACCCAGGACTAAACAAGACAGCTCTACACAACCCAGGACTAAACAAGACAGTCTAGCTCTACACAACCCAGGACTAAACAAGACAGCCTAGCTCTACACAACCCAGGACTAAACAAGACAGCTCTACACAACCCACGACTAAACAAGACAGCTCTACACAAGACAGGACTAAACAAGACAGCCTAGCTCTACACAAGCCAGGACTAAACAAGACAGCCTAGCTCTACACAACCCAGGACTAAACAAGACAGCCTAGCTCTACACAACCCAGGACTAAACAAGACAGCCTAGCTCTACACAACCCAGGACTAAACAAGACAGCCTAGCTCTACACAACCTAGGACTAAACAAGACAGCCTAGCTCCACACAACCCAGGACTAAACAAGACAGCCTAGCTCTACACAACCCAGGACTAAACAAGACAGCCTAGCTCTACACAACCCAGGACTAAACAAGACAGCCTAGCTCTACACAACCCAGGACTAAACAAGACAACCTAGCTCTACACAACCCAGGACTAAACAAGACAGCCTAGCTCTACACAACCCAGGACTAAACAAGACAGCCTAGCTCTACACAACCCAGGACTAAACAAGACAGCCTAGCTCTACACAACCCAGGACTAAACAAGACAGCTCTACACAACCCAGGACTAAACAAGACAGCCTAGCTCTACACAACCCAGGACTAAACAAGACAGCCTAGCTCTACACAAGCCAGGACTAAACAAGACAGACTAGCTCTACACAACCCAGGACTAAACAAGACAGCCTAGCTCTACACAACCCAGGACTAAACAAGACAGCTCTACACAAGACAGGACTAAACAAGACAGCCTAGCTCTACACAACCCAGGACTAAACAAGACAGCCTAGCTCTACACAACCCAGGACTAAACAAGACAGCTCTACACAACCCAGGACTAAACAAGACAGCCTAGCTCTACACAAGCCAGGACTAAACAAGACAGACTAGCTCTACACAACCCAGGACTAAACAAGACAGTCTAGCTCTACACAACCCAGGACTAAACAAGACAGCTCTACACAAGACAGGACTAAACAAGACAGCCTAGCTCTACACAACCCAGGACTAAACAAGACAGCCTAGCTCTACACAACCCACGACTAAACAAGACAGCCTAGCTCTACACAACCCAGGACTAAACAAGACAGCCTAGCTCTACACAACCCAGGACTAAACAAGACAGCCTAGCTCTACACAAGCCAGGACTAAACAAGACTACCTAGCTCTACACAACCCAGGACTAAACAAGACAACCTAGCTCTACACAACCCAGGACTAAACAAGACAGCCTAGCTCTACACAACCCAGGACTAAACAAGACAGCTCTACACAACCCAGGACTAAACAAGACAGCCTAGCTCTACACAACCCAGGACTAAACAAGACAGCCTAGCTCTACACAACCCAGGACTAAACAAGACAGCCTAGCTCTACACAACCCAGGACTAAACAAGACAGCTCTATACAACCCAGGACTAAACAAGACAGCCTAGCTCTACACAACCCAGGACTAAACAAGACAGCCTAGCTCTACACAACCCAGGAATAAACAAGACAGCCTAGCTCTACACAACCCAGGACTAAACAAGACAGACTAGCTCTACACAACCCAGGACTAAACAAGACAGCTCTACACAACCCAGGACTAAACAAGACAGCCTAGCTCTACACAACCCAGGACTAAACAAGACAGCCTAGCTCTACACAACCCAGGACTAAACAAGACAGTCTAGCTCTACACAACCCAGGACTAAACAAGACAGCTCTACACAACCCAGGACTAAACAAGACAGCCTAGCTCTACACAACCCAGGACTAAACAAGACAGCCTAGCTCTACACAACCCAGGACTAAACAAGACAGCCTAGCTCTACACAACCCAGGACTAAACAAGACAGCCTAGCTCTACACAACCCAGGACTAAACAAGACAGCCTAGCTCTACACAACCCAGGACTAAACAAGACAGCTCTACACAACCCAGGACTAAACAAGACAGCCTAGCTCTACACAACCCAGGACTAAACAAGACAGCCTAGCTCTACACAACCCAGGACTAAACAAGACAGCTCTACACAACCCAGGACTAAACAAGACAGCCTAGCTCTACACAACCCAGGACTAAACAAGACAGCCTAGCTCTACACAACCCAGGACTAAACAAGACAGCTCTACACAACCCAGGACTAAACAAGACAGCTCTACACAACCCAGGACTAAACAAGACAGCCTAGCTCTACACAACCCAGGACTAAACAAGACAGCTCTACACAACCCAGGACTAAACAAGACAGCCTAGCTCTACACAAGCCAGGACTAAACAAGACAGACTAGCTCTACACAACCCAGGACTAAACAAGACAGTCTAGCTCTACACAACCCAGGACTAAACAAGACAGCTCTACACAACCCAGGACTAAACAAGACAGCCTAGCTCTACACAACCCAGGACTAAACAAGACAGCCTAGCTCTACACAACCCAGGACTAAACAAGACAGCCTAGCTCTACACAACCCAGGACTAAACAAGACAGTCTAGCTCTACACAACCCAGGACTAAACAAGACAGCTCTACACAACCCAGGACTAAACAAGACAGTCTAGCTCTACACAACCCAGGACTAAACAAGACAGCTCTACACAAGCCAGGACTAAACAAGACAGCCTAGCTCTACACAACCCAGGACTAAACAAGACAGACTAGCTCTACACAACCCAGGACTAAACAAGACAGTCTAGCTCTACACAACCCAGGACTAAACAAGACAGCCTAGCTCTACACAACCCAGGACTAAACAAGACAGCTCTACACAACCCAGGACTAAACAAGACAGCCTAGCTCTACACAACCCAGGACTAAACAAGACAGCCTAGCTCTACACAACCCAGGACTAAACAAGACAGCCTAGCTCTACACAACCCAGGACTAAACAAGACAGCCTAGCTCTACACAACCCAGGACTAAACAAGACAGCTCTACACAACCCAGGACTAAACAAGACAGCCTAGCTCTACACAACCCAGGACTAAACAAGACAGCTCTACACAACCCAGGACTAAACAAGACAGCCTAGCTCTACACAACCCAGGACTAAACAAGACAGCCTAGCTCTACACAACCCAGGACTAAACAAGACAGCTCTACACAACCCAGGACTAAACAAGACAGTCTAGCTCTACACAACCCAGGACTAAACAAGACAGCCTAGCTCTACACAACCCAGGACTAAACAAGACAGTCTAGCTCTACACAACCCAGGACTAAACAAGACAGCCTAGCTCTACACAACCCAGGACTAAACAAGACAGCCTAGCTCTACACAACCCAGGACTAAACAAGACAGCCTAGCTCTACACAACCCAGGACTAAACAAGACAGCTCTACACAACCCAGGACTAAACAAGACAGCCTAGCTCTACACAACCCAGGACTAAACAAGACAGCCTAGCTCTACACAACCCAGGACTAAACAAGACAGCTCTACACAACCCAGGACTAAACAAGACAGCTCTACACAACCCAGGACTAAACAAGACAGCCTAGCTCTACACAACCCAGGACTAAACAAGACAGCCTAGCTCTACACAACCCAGGACTAAACAAGACAGCCTAGCTCTACACAACCCAGGACTAAACAAGACAGACTAGCTCTACACAACCCAGGACTAAACAAGACAGCCTAGCTCTACACAACCCAGGACTAAACAAGACAGCTCTACACAAGACAGGACTAAACAAGACAGCCTAGCTCTACACAACCCAGGACTAAACAAGACAGCCTAGCTCTACACAACCCAGGACTAAACAAGACAGCTCTACACAACCCAGGACTAAACAAGACAGCCTAGCTCTACACAACCCAGGACTAAACAAGACAGCCTAGCTCTACACAACCCAGGACTAAACAAGACAGCCTAGCTCTACACAACCCAGGACTAAACAAGACAGCCTAGCTCTACACAACCCAGGACTAAACAAGACAGCCTAGCTCTACACAACCCAGGACTAAACAAGACAGCCTAGCTCTACACAACCCAGGACTAAACAAGACAGCCTAGCTCTACACAACCCAGGACTAAACAAGACAGCCTAGCTCTACACAACCCAGGACTAAACAAGACAGACTAGCTCTACACAACCCAGGACTAAACAAGACAGCCTAGCTCTACACAACCCAGGACTAAACAAGACAGCCTAGCTCTACACAACCCAGGACTAAACAAGACAGCCTAGCTCTACACAACCCAGGACTAAACAAGACAGCCTAGCTCTACACAACCCAGGACTAAACACGACAGCTCTACACAACCCAGGACTAAACAAGACAGCCTAGCTCTACACAACCCAGGACTAAACACGACAGCTCTATACAACCCAGGACTAAACAAGACAGCCTAGCTCTACACAACCCAGGACTAAACAAGACAGCCTAGCTCTACACAAATCTACACTAGTAAAGATAGTGAGCAATGAGAAGGATGCAAATAGGAAGGGTTTCTTTCAGACCTTTTAACATTTTTCTCCCTTATGGGTGTATTTCCGGTAATTGGTCACTTTTCCTGGGGAGGGGTTTGTGGACACTGGTCAAGGTATATATTTTCTATACATATATATTTTAATATTTTGTACGGGGCTTGGGGGTAGTAGAAGAACTACGTGGCGGAGGTGGGGGGGGGGGGGGGGTGAAAGAATTGTCTAGTACTATCACAATAGTAGGAATCAAAAAGCCTTTTTTTTAAACAAAATCTATGATGCTCTCAGATAGCGAGAGGAGAAGCGAGAGTTAGAAATAATATTGTATTGCTGTCTTGTGTTCATCTTTCTGTTAATGTCATTAGAATAGTTAAAAATTATGAATGGCATTTTTAAAACACAAATATGCATGTCAATGACAGTCAAATATTCAAGTGAATTCAAAGTTTGAAATAACCTCAAAATGATTGTAAATATGTACACGAGACCAATCAAATCATAGTTACAGTCATCGTTTAGTTATAAATATGTTATAGTTATAAACAGAGGCGTAGCGAGGGGGGCGGGGGTGCGGACCGCACCGGGTGACACCATTTAGGGGGGGGGGGGGGGTGACACCAAGGCAAAAAATAGCAAAATATATAGAAAAAACTTGAGGGAGGGGTGCAAATCGAAAGTTCAAGGGGAGGGGGGGGGTGCAATCAAAAGAAAATTTGAAAGTTTGTCGCCGGGAAGGGTCGCTACGCCTCTAAGGGGGGGGGGGGGGGGACACACCATTAAGTGCCGCACCGGGTGACACCCGACCTCGCTACGCCACTGGTTATAAATATGTTATAGTTACAGTCATCGTTTAGTTATAAATATGTTATAGGTACAACAAGAAAATCGTGAAATAATTCTAACTAGCATAATACAAAAATATACGTTAAAAATGTTAATTTATTAGTCCAATTGAAAGTTGGGATGATTGCATCACAGAATAGATCTGAACTTGTAATATCCCAGGCAATGTCTTGTATGATCACCACAACCCAGTAGATAAGGCAGCACTTATCAACGATATACTCACGGCAAGACCTAAGAAAAAACAACACACAGCAGACAGGCAAGACACATGAACCAAGTCCCTCCAAGACAGGCTACCCTGGATACGCTACACACAGTAAGACCGAGTCAATGATAACAACAGAGCAGCCGATGATGTAGATGTAAAAGGCCCAAGCGTAGGACCAATCTTCCAGCTTCAGTCCGTACCCGCCCGTCGCTAGGTACACAAACAGACCAATCACACCAAAACCTAGAAAACCTGAAGTAGAGCAAGTTGTGTTGATGGGTTAGTTCTTATCAACAAGGAGCAGCTTTAAACCATCACACTTATCAGCATACCTATCAACACACGAAATACCACATACACCCAACACTCATCAACTAACCATTGACACCAGTTAACCCTTCATTTATTAACTCATCACATGTGTTTTCACTGTTTAACACAATAATGACAACACACACGCGCACATATTCCTCTTAAAGCTACTGGCGAAACGAACCATGATACCCACAAACATATTCCCACAACACTTGCCAGCAATAAAAGCCATGATACCCACACACAAATTCCCACTACACTTACCAGCAATAAAAGCCATAATGCCCACACAGATATTTCTGCCAACCCCAGTGTAGCAACACCTACACAATGCCACCAGAAAACAGAAGAGAACGAGGATGACGTTAAAAAACGTTCCTACCCTCACAGCCCATACAGCACCTGGCAATAGCAGTACATATAGCTTAATCGAGTTGCCAGATTGGCTTATAATTTTAAGTTCTTAAACGGTATGTTTTAAATTTTAAGTAATTCAATATTTTGGGTGGGGGGGGGGGGGGTGGGGGAATTAGATTAGCTAACTATATGGCAACTCTGTAACAACACATATATTATATAAATTATATAAATGTGGTGATTTGGGTAAAATAATGGACACAAACACCGTAACACGTGCTGGCTTCAAATCATCAAAACAATGTAAAATTCTATGTTCTATTTTAGACCGGTACACAGCTAGGACTGTGTGACATGATTGTTTGTAATCATTTGTCACAACTTGTGATCGCATTGCTGCAACCCCCTGACATAAGCTGTACCCCATTTATAAACCAGTTGTTAACCAGCTGATAACATATTGGCAACCAGCTTTCAACCCTCTACCAACCCTCTGTCAACCCTCTGTCAACCCTCTACCAACCCTCTGTCAACCCTCTACCAACCCTCTGTCAACCCTCTGTCAACCCTCTGTCAACCCTCTGTCAACCCTCTGTCAACCCTCTGTCAACCCTCTGTCAACCCTCTGTCAACCCTCTACCAACCCTCTGTCAACCCTCTGTCAACCCTCTACCAACCCTCTGTCAACCCTCTGTCAACCCTCTGTCAACCCTCTACCAACCCTCTGTCAACCCTCTACCAACCCTCTGTCAACCCTCTGTCAACCCTCTGTCAACCCTCTACCAACCCTCTGTCAACCCTCTACCAACCCTCTGTCAACCCTCTACCAACTCTCTGTCAACCCTCTGTCAACCCTCTGTCAACCCTCTACCAACCCTCTGTCAACCCTCTGTCAACCCTCTACCAACCCTCTGTCAACCCTCTGTCAACCCTCTACCAACCCTCTGTCAACCCTCTGTCAACCCTCTGTCAACCCTCTACCAACCCTCTGTCAACCCTCTGTCAACCCTCTACCAACCCTCTGTCAACCCTCTGTCAACCCTCTACCAACCCTCTGTCAACCCTCTGTCAACCCTCTGTCAACCCTCTACCAACCCTCTGTCAACCCTCTGTCAACCCTCTGTCAACCCTCTACCAACCCTCTGTCAACCCTCTGTCAACCCTCTACCAACCCTCTGTCAACCCTCTACCAACCCTCTGTCAACCATGTGTCGAGTGACTACCTTCATCCTCCCCCAGCCTGTAGATGTTGCAGACGCGGGTGTTGCTGTAGCAGTACCACCACAGGCCGCCGTCGACTGTCGTCAGGTTGCCGTCTGCTAGCGAGTCGTCGTGCAGGTACAGACTCAGCTGACTCATCACAATCTGCAACACGGGCATGGTTGGTGACACACCAAATATTGACACGTAACCAAACATTGACAAACATTGATACGAAGAAAAACATTGGCACGTAGACAAACATTGACACGGAGTCAAACATTGACAAACATTGACACGTAGACAAACTAAACATTGACACGTAACCAAACTTTGACACGTAGATAATATTGACACGTAGATAATTTTGTCACATAGACAAACATTGATACGTAGACCAACATTAACACGTAGACTAACATTGTCACGTAGACTAACATTGACACGTAGACAAACATTGACACGTAGACAAACATTGACACGTAGAAACATGTAGAAATATGCAGAGTCACTTATACACTGACAGACCTGTTTACTTACATGTAGACACAGTTACTTACACACATACATGTTTATTTATACATGTAGACAGGTTTACTTACATGTAGACATGTTTACTAACATATAAACAGGTTTACTTACTTGTAAACAGGTTTACTTACATTTAAACAGGTTTACTTACACGTAAACTTGTTTACTTACACGTAAACAGGTTTACTTACATGTCGACAGGTTTACTTACATGCACACAGGTTTACTTACATGTAGACAGGTTTACTTACATGTCAACAGGTTTACTTACATGTAGACAGGTTTACTTACACGTAGACAGACAGGTTTACTTACATGTCAACAGGTTTACTTACATGTAGACAGGTTTACTTACATGTAGACAGGTTTACTTACATGCACACAGGTTTACTTACATGTAGACAGGTTTACTTACATGTAGACAGGTTTACTTACATGTAGACAGGTTTACTTACATGTCGACAGGTTTACTTACATGTAGACAGGTTTACTTACATGTAGACAGACAGGTTTACTTACATGTAGACAGACAGGTTTACTTACATGTAGACAGGTTTACTTACATGTAGACAGGTTTACTTACATGTAGACAGACAGGTTTACTTACATGTAGACAGACAGGTTTACTTACATGTAGACAGGTTTACTTACATGTAGACAGGTTAACTTACATGTAGACAGACAGGTTTACTTACATGTAGACAGACAGGTTTACTTACATGTAGACAGACAGGTTTACTTACATGTAGACAGACAGGTTTACTTACATGTAGACAGACAGGTTTACTTACATGTAGACAGGTTTACTTACATGCCCAGACTGCCAGAATGGGGCTAGAGCACCCAGAAGACTGAGCAGACATCCAAAAACGAGAAAGATAAAACTGAGTTTTGATGACCTCACTTGATTCATTTTGTCATCCCTGGACCTTCTGTTGGTTAGGCAGGTCTTGGTCAAGTGGAACTAGGTCTCTAGGGTCATTCTTTTAAGTTGCTGGGGGGATGTGAGATAAAGATTTTTTTTTTTTAATTTAGAGGGTTTATTGTTTGACAAGATGACTGGAGACCAAATAAAGGGAAACAACTCAAATAAAAATGTGTGACATATTTATGTTATTGTCACGTAATGGCATATAGTGACTGAATGTTCGATCAAGTTTTCTGATCCGTCTGATGTACAATAGTGCACAATTTAGCCACAAATAAGACACAGACTGTTTACAACGTCTAAGTTTTCCTAGAATCACAGAACAGCACAGAGGATAATATATTGTGATCGAATATTACAAAGATGTAATGTAAATATATCCACAGAATAGCCAATTTTATTGCAGGTAATCCACACGTATCCACGGGATGGCTTATAATCTAAATCAGTGGTTCCCAACCTTTTTCGAGTGGCGACCCCCTTTTATAAAAAGTAAGCGACCCGCGACCCCCATAGAATTAAAAAGCCAAAATTAGTATGGAAATTAATAAGCACTAAAATAAGATTTTCTAATAGACTTTCAATATGAACTACTCTTGATAACTATTTTAATAGCATGAGTAAAATTGCATACTATTCACTAAACCTTCGTGGTTAAGTTTTTAATTTCAATTTTTTTTTTGTTAACGCCAACCTATGTCATTATAATTATCTTAATTTTGTTTTTAATCGAAGAATAGTGTTGAAAATATATTCTCGAAAAGTCAATCAATTTTACGTTTGGGTATGAATGGTGAATACTACACCAAAATTGTGTCTGCAGTTTTTCATCTTACTCGGAATCATACTGCAAATCAAATAATTCATCTTCTAATTCATCGGGAATGCTGGCAACATCAAGGGAAGAAGAGAATGGGTAATGCGTAAATGCAGATTCTTCTTTTTTTCAGCTCAGAGAAATAGCGATGCAGTTCGTTTTCAAGAGATTCAAGATGCCCAGAAATCGCTTCTTTCAAAATTTTAATTATCTCACAATCAGATTCATCTACCACACCGCAGAGTTTCTCGAATTTACAATATTTCCAAGATTTATTTTCTTTAACGATTTTGCAGCTTTGATAAAAATGCCCCAAGATTATCATGGAAAGTTATAATATTCCTTCATTTTCCCCGAAGCTTCAGGTTAAGCTTATCTTGATGTTCGAATACATCTGCTAGGTATGATACTCTCTCCAACCACTCTATGTCGTTTTAAGTATACCAAAAAGTCTTGTTTCCTTTGCACACCCAAGAACAATTTGATTTCAGATTTCAATTCAAAAACACAATTTACAACGTTTCGTTTGACAGCCAGCGTAATGTAGTGTAGAAGAGCAGAACCTCGTGATCTATAGTAATGTTTTTGCTCAGTTCTTTGAAGGCTCCAGATTTTATATATAATTTACGACTTATACTAGCAATGGACTCTTGAAGTCGATTGGTTAGGGCAGTGTTAGGGAGCTAAATCTTTTCTGTTTTCTGAAAGCCCGATTTTGAGCTAAACGTAGATGGCGCACCATCCGTACAAACCCCCACAGCCGTTCTAACCCATTTTAATCATCCAGTTTCAAAAAAGGTATTTATTTTCTCCATGCTATCTTCACAAAAGAGCAACTCTTCTTTGCTATCATCCGCATTAATATAGACACAGACCAGCAACTGCGAACACGAGCTCACGTCTGTTGATTTATCAACTTGAAAAGCAAACAATGGTGAAAGCTTAATTTCGATAAAAGTGTGTTATTTAACATTTACGTACATGCAGCGCTTGATGAGATTTTCTCCTATTGTTTTTTTTTGTTGTTTTTTTTGCTTGGCATTTTTTTTTTACTTTATTTGATGCTTGCACTAATGATGGTGAAAACTTCCTGTTCGATCAAGTCTCTGGCGTTTGCAACTAGCTTCTTACCGACGAAAGAACTCCATATATTTTTTGGTGTGTTCCGAATGACTCGTCTCAAATGGCGTTTTAGTTTTGAAGATTTCATAGATTCGTGACTGAGAACAACTTTGTACAGTGCGCTTTGTTTCTTCTCTATTACATTTCCAGTGATGTTAATGAAGCCGAATTTCAAAAATTCTTCTGAATATTTATGTTTTGTTTCAAATTACTACGGTTTAGTTTACCAGTTGGCGACCCCCCAGAAAGACCTTCGCGACCCCCAAGGGGGTCGCGACCCCCAGGTTGGGAACCCCTGATCTAAATGTATCCAATGTGTATCCAAATGACGGTATCATACGTGTCAAAATAAAAATGTGTATCCATAGTGTTGAAAAAGTCTTCGCGAGTCTTACCTGTTCTACCTGCAACAAAAGAATTTATCCGCCCAGTCTGCACCAAGCCACCATTTATCCAAGCCCGTATAATTATACACGACCGTCGGGGTACTGCACTAGATGGTGCCCCGGCTACCACTACAGTAAACAAACACCAAGTTTCCCACGGAAGTAGCCACTTTATAGAGCTTGAGTCGTGGCTGTCTGGTTGGCTGATGTGGTGGATCTTGTGGGCTGTTGTAGTGAATGTGGTATGGGCTGATGTTGTGGATGTGTTGTGGTGGTTGTGTTGTGAGCTGATGTTGTGGCTGTGTTGTGGATTTGTTGTGGGCTGTGGTGGGTGTGTTGTGGGCGGATGTGGTGGATGTGTTGTGGGCTGATGTGGTGGCTGTGTTGTGGGCTGATGTGGTGGATGTATTGTGGGCTAATGTGGTGGATGTATTGTGGGCTGATGTGGTGGATGTATTGTGGGCTGATGTGGTGGCTGTATTGTGGGCTGATGTGGTGGATGTATTGTGGGCTGATGTGGTGGCTGTGTTGTGGGCTGATGTGGTGGATGTGTTGTGGGCTGATGTGGTGGATGTATTGTGGGCTGATGTGGTAGATGTATTGTGGGCTGATGTGGTGGGTGTGTTGTGGATGTATTGTGGGCTGATGTGGTGGATGTATTGTGGGCTGATGTGGTGGATGTATTGTGGGCTGATGTTGTGGATGTATTGTGGGCTGGTGTGGTGAATGTATTGTGGGCTGATGTGGTGGCTGTATTGTGGGCTGATGTGGTGGCTGTGTTGTGGGCTGATGTTGTGGATGTATTGTGGGCTGACGTGGTGGATGTATTGTGGGCTGATGTGGTGGCTGTATTTTGGGCTGATGTGGTGGCTGTATTGTGGGCTGATGTGGTGGCTGTATTTTAGGCTGATGTGGTGGTGTATTGTGGGGTGATGTTGTGGGTGTGTTGTGGGCTGATGTTGTGGCTGTGTTGTAGGTGTGTTGTGGGCTGATGTGGTGGGTGTGTTGTGGGCTGGTGTGGTGGATGTGTTGTGGGCTGGTGTGGTGGATGTATTGTGGGCTGATGTTGTGGCTGTGTTGTGGGCTGATGTGGTGGATGTGTTGTGGGCTGATGTGGTGGATGTATTGTGGGCTGATGTGGTGTCTGTATTGTGGGCTGGTGTGGTGGATGTATTGTGGGCTGATGTGGTGGATGTATTGTGGGCTGATGTGGTGGATGTATTGTGGACTGATGTGGTGGATGTATTGTGGGCTGATGTGGTGGATGTATTGTGGGCTGATGTGGTGGGTGTGTTGTGGGCTGATGTGGTGGGTGTATTGTGGGCTGATGTGGTGGATGTATTGTGGGCTGATGTGGTGGATGTATTGTGGGCTGATGTGGTGGATGTATTGTGGGCTGATGTGGTGGGTGTGTTGTGGGCTGATGTGGTGGGTGTATTGTGGGCTGATGTGGTGGATGTATTGTGGGCTGATGTGGTGGCTGTATTGTAGGCTGATGTGGTGGCTGTATTGTGGGCTGATGTGGTGGATGTATTGTGGACTGATGTGGTGGATGTATTGTGGGCTGATGTGGTGGATGTATTGTGGGCTGATGTGGTGGATGTATTGTGGGCTGATGTGGTGGATGTATTGTGGGCTGGTGTTGTGGATGTATTGTGGGCTGATGTGGTGGATGTATTGTGGGCTGGTGTGGTGGATGTATTGTGGGCTGATGTGGTGGATGTATTGTGGGCTGATGTGGTGGGTGTGTTGTGGGCTGATGTGGTGGGTGTATTGTGGGCTGATGTGGTGGGTGTGTTGTGGGCTGATGTGGTGGATGTATTGTGGGCTGATGTGGTGGATGTATTGTGGGCTGATGTGGTGGGTGTGTTGTGGGCTGATGTGGTGGGTGTATTGTGGGCTGATGTGGTGGATGTATTGTGGGCTGATATGGTGGCTGTATTGTGGGCTGATGTGGTGGCTGTATTGTGGGCTGATGTGGTGGATGTATTGTGGGCTGATGTGGTGGATGTATTGTGGGCTGATGTGGTGGATGTATTGTGGGCTGATGTGGTGGATGTATTGTGGGCTGATGTGGTGGATGTATTGTGGGCTGGTGTGGTGGATGTATTGTGGGCTGATGTGGTGGATGTATTGTGGGCTGGTGTGGTGGATGTATTGTGGGCTGATGTGGTGGATGTATTGTGGGCTGATGTGGTGGATGTATTGTGGGCTGATGTGGTGGGTGTATTGTGGGCTGATGTGGTGGATGTGTTGTGGGCTGATGTGGTGGCTGTATTGTGGGCTGATGTGGTGGATGTATTGTGGGCTGATGTTGTGGATGTATTGTGGGCTGGTGTGGTGGATGTATTGTGGGCTGATGTGGTGGCTGTATTGTGGGCTGATGTGGTGGCTGTGTTGTGGGCTGATGTGGTGGATGTATTGTAGGCTGATGTGGTGGATGTATTGTGGGCTGATGTGGAGGATGTATTGTGGGCTGATGTCATGGATGTATTGTGGGTTGATGTGGTGGATGTATTGTGGGCTGATGTGGTGGATTTGTTGTGGGCTGATGTGGTGGATGTATTGTGAGCTGATGTGGTGGCTGTATTGTGGGCTGATGTGGTGGATGTATTGTGGGCTGATGTGGTGGATGTGTTGTGGTGGACTGATGTTGTAGCTGTGTTGTAGGAGTGTTGTGGGCTGATGTGTTGGGTGTGTTGTGGGCTGGTGTGGTGGATGTGTTGTGGGCTGGTGTGGTGGATGTATTGTGGGCTGATGTGGTGGCTGTGTTGTGGGCTGATGTGGTGGATGTGTTGTGGGCTGATGTGGTGGATGTATTGTGGGCTGATGTGGTGGCTGTATTGTGGGCTGGTGTTGTGGATGTATTGTGGGCTGATGTGGTGGATGTATTGTGGGCTGATGTGGTGGATGTATTTTGGGCTGATGTGGTGGATGTATTGTGGGCTGGTGTGGTGGATTTGTTGTGGTCTGGTGTGGTGGCTGTATTGTGGGCTGATGTGGTGGCTGTGTTGTGGGCTGATGTGGTGGATGTATTGTGGGCTGATGTGGTGGCTGTATTGTGGGCTGATGTGGTGGCTGTATTGTGGGCTGATGTGGTGGCTGTATTGTAGGCTGATGTGCTGGTGTATTGTGGGCTGATGTTGTGGGTGTGTTGTGGGCTGATTTTGTGGATGTGTTGTGGTGGACTGATGTTGTGGCTGTGTTGTAGGAGTGTTGTGGGCTGATGTGGTGGGTGTGTTGTGGGCTGGTGTGGTGGATGTGTTGTGGGCTGGTGTGGTGGATGTATTGTGGGCTGATGTGGTGGCTGTGTTGTGGGCTGATGTGGTGGATGTGTTGTGGGCTGATGTGGTGGATGTATTGTGGGCTGATGTGGTGGCTGTATTGTGGGCTGGTGTTGTGGATGTATTGTGGGCTGATGTGGTGGATGTATTGTGGGCTGATGTGGTGGATGTATTTTGGGCTGATGTGGTGGATGTATTGTGGGCTGATGTGGTGGATGTATTGTGGGCTGATGTGGTGGATGTATTGTGGGCTGATGTGGTGGATGTATTGTGGGCTGGTGTGGTGGATGTATTGTGGGCTGATGTGGTGGCTGTATTGTGGGCTGGTGTGGTGGATGTATTGTGGGCTGATGTGGTGGATGTATTGTGGGCTGATGTGGTGGATTTGTTGTGGGCTGATGTGGTGGATGTATTGTGGGCTGATGTGGTGGATGTATTGTGGGCTGATGTGGTGGCTGTATTGTGGGCTGATGTGGTGGATGTATTGTGGGCTGATGTGGTGGCTGTATTGTGGGCTGATGTTGTGGATGTATTGTGGGCTGGTGTGGTGGCTGTATTGTGGGCTGATGTGGTGGCTGTGTTGTGGGCTGATGTGGTGGATGTATTGTGGGCTGATGTGGTGGATGTATTGTGGGCTGATGTGGTGGATGTATTGTGGGCTGATGTGGTGGATGTATTGTGGGCTGATGTCATGGATGTATTGTGGGCTGATGTGGTGGATGTATTGTGGGCTGATGTGGTGGATTTGTTGTGGGCTGGTGTGGTGGCTGTATTGTGAGCTGATGTGGTGGCTTTGTTGTGGGCTAATGTGGTGGATGTATTGTGGGCTGATGTGGTGGATGTGTTGTGGGCTGATGTTGTGGATGTATTGTGGGCTGGTGTGGTGGATGTGTTGTGGGCTGGTGTGGTGGCTGTATTGTGGGCTGATGTGGTGGCTGTGTTGTGGGCTGATGTGGTGGATGTATTGTGGGCTGATGTGGTGGCTGTATTGTGAGCTGATGTGGTGGCTGTATTGTGGGCTAATGTGGTGGATGTATTGTGGGCTGATGTGGTGGATGTATTGTGGGCTGATGTGGTGGCTGTATTGTGGGCTGATGTTGTCGGTGTGTTGTGGGCTGATGTGGTGGCTGTATTGTGGGCTGATGTGGTGGATGTATTGTGGGCTGATGTGGTGGCTGTATTGTGGGCTGATGTGGTGGCTGTGTTGTGGGCTGATGTGGTGGATGTGTTGTGGGCTGATGTGGTGGATGTATTGTGGGCTGATGTGGTGGATTTGTTGTGGGCTGATGTGGTGGATGTGTTGTGGGCTGATGTGGTGGATGTATTGTGGGCTGATGTGGTGGATGTATTGTGGGCTGATGTGGTGGCTGTATTGTGGGCTGATGTGGTGGATGTATTGTGGGCTGATGTGGTGGCTGTATTGTGGGCTGATGTGGTGGATGTATTGTGGGCTGATGTGGTGGCTGTATTGTGGGCTGATGTGGTGGCTGTGTTGTGGGCTGATGTGGTGGATGTGTTGTGGGCTGGTGTGGTGGCTGTATTGTGGGCTGATGTGGTGGCTGTATTGTGGGCTGATGTGGTGGATGTATTGTGGGCTGATGTGGTGGATGTATTGTAGGCTGATGTGGTGGGTGTATTGTGGGCTGATGTTGTGGATGTATTGTGGGCTGATGTGGTGGATTTGTTGCGGGCTGATATTGTGGATGTGTTGTGGACTGATGTGGTGGATTTGTTGTGGGCTGATGCGGTGGCTGTATTGTGGGCTGATGTGGTGGATGTATTGTGGGCTGATGTGGTGGATGTATTGTGGGCT